GGAGGGCAAAAGGGATAATTCGGCACATGTGTGTGGTGATGGGTTGTACTTAGTATTTGGGTGGTGAACATGATGTAATCTATGCAGAAATAGAAGTATAACGATGTACGCCTGAAATTTATACAATGTTATAAACCAATGTTACTGCAATAAACAAAAAAATTTTAAAATTTAAATAAATAAAATGTCCGTTCTACCCAAAGCCATCTATAGATTCAATACAATCCCTATCAAAATTCCAATAGCATTTTTCACTGAAATAGAAAAAACAATCCTAAAATTTGTATGGAACCATGAAAAACCCCAAATAGTCAAAGCAATCCTGAGAAAGAAGAACAAAGGTGGAGGCATCACACTTCCTGATTTCAAACTTTATCACAAAGCTATAGTAATCAAAACACTATAGCAGTGGTATGACAGACACATAGACCAACGGCACAGAATCAAGAGCCCAGAAATTATCCCATGCACATACAGCCAACTAATATTTGACAAGGGAGCTAAGAATACTCAATGGGGAAGGGATAGTTTCTTCAATAAATTGTGCCAAGAAAACTGAATATTCACACGTAAAAGAATGAAATTGGACCCCTATCTTACACTACTCACAAAAATTAACTCAAAATGGATTAAAGACTTAAACATACAAACTGAAATTGTAAAACTACTAGAAGAAAGTACAGGGAAAAGGTCCTTGATATTGGTCTTGGTGATGATTTTTCGGATATGCCACAAAAAGTGCAAGCAACAAAGCAAAAATAAACAACTGGGGCTAAATTGAACTAAAAAGCTTCTACACGGTAAAATAAACAATCAGCAAAATGAAAAGGCAACCTACAGAATGGGAGAAAATATTTGCAAACCATCTATTTGATGAGGGGTTAATATCCAAAACATATACGGACTCTTACAACTCAATAGCAAAAAACCCAAACAATATGATTAAAAAATGGGCAGAGGATGGTCACGTAGTGGTTAAGTTTGAACACTCCACTTCGGTGGTCTGGGGTTCATGGGTTTGTATCCTGGGTGTGGACCTACACACCGCTCATCAAGCCATGCTGTGGTCCCACATACGTCCCACATACAAAATAGATGAAGACTGGCACAGATGTTAGCTCAGGGACAATCTTCCTCAAGCAAAAAGAGGAAGATAGGCAGCAGATGTTAGCTCAGGGCCAATCTTTCTCACCTAAATAAATAAATAAAAGGTGGGTGTTGTTTAAAAAAAAAAAAAAATGAGCAGAGAAACTGAATAGAGATCTTTCCAAAGAAGGCATACAAATGGCCAACAGATTCATGAAAAGATGCTCAACATCGCTAATCATCAGGGAAATGCAAATAAAAACCACAAGGAGATAGCACCTCACATCTGTTGGAATGGCTATTATCAAAAAGACAAGAGACATCAAGTGTTGGCAAGGCTGTAGAGAAAAAGGAACGCGTGTGCACTGTTTGTGGGAATGTAAATTGGTGCAGCAACTATGGAAACACTATGGAAGATCCTCAAAAAATTAAAAAATTAAAAATAGAGGGGCTGGCCTGGTGGCATAGTGGTTAAGTTTGTGTGCTCTGCTTCAGTGGCCTGGGGTTCACAGGTTCGGATCCCAGGTGCAGACCAACACACTGCTCATCAAGCCATGCTGTGCCCGCATGCCACATACAAAATAGAGGCAGATGGGCATAGATGTTAGTTCAGGGCTAATCATCCTCAGCAAAAAGAGGAGGATTGGCAATGGATGTTAGCTAAGAGCCAGTCTTCCTCACAAAAAAAAAAAGTAAAAATAGAACTACTATATAATCCAGCAATCTCACTTTCAGGTATATCCAAAGGAAATGAAATAAGGATCTCAAAGAGATATCTGCACTCCTATGTACACTGCAGCATTATTCACAATAGCCAAGAAATGGAAACAACGTTAAGTGCCCATCAATGGATGAATGGATAAAGAAAATGTGATACATATACACACACACACACACAATGTTACATATATAGGCTATGTATATGTGTATATACGTACATGTATATGTGTATATACGTATATACACATATACATATATATACAGTGTTATATATGTTATATGTATACAATGTTATATATATGTTATATACATATACAATGTTATACACACACACACACACAACAATGGGATATTTTTCAGCCACAGAAAAGAATGAAATCCTGTCATTTGTGACAACATCGATGGACCTTGAGGACATTTTGCTAAGTGAAATAAATAAGTCAATAAGTAAATAAGAGAAAGACAGACAGATTGGTGGTTGCCAGAGGTGGGGAGTGGGGGATAGACGAAATGGGTGATGGCAGTCAAAAGGCACAAACTTTCAGTTATAAAATAAATAAGTCCCGGGGATGTAACATACAACACGATGACTATAATTAAAATACTTTATTGTATATTTGAAAGTTGCTAAAAGAATAGATCTTAAAAGTTCTCATCACAAGACACAAAATGTGTAACTGTGTGTGGTGATGGAGGTTAACTAAACTTGCTGTGGTGATCATTTTGCAATATATACAAATATTGAATTATTATGTTGTACACCTGAAACTAATATAATGTTATATGTCAATTATATATCAATAAAAAAATCTTTAGGATAGTGTCAGTGTACAGGGATATAAAACAGAGGATGAAAAAGTCAGTATGAAAGAAGAATGTCAGAAATGAAATAGGAAGCAGGCTAAAGTTAAACCGGTAAAAAGCAAGTTAGAAGCAAGTAATGTGGAGAATCAAGGAAGATGTCATATTCCAGAGAGAAAACAAAAGCTGGGAGCTGGAGGCCAATGCACTGAAGGAAAGCCCCAGCTGCTCAAGGAGGCCTGTGGAGTCTTGGTGCAGAGGAAAGTACGTTGCCTTTGCTAAGAAGAGGTGCAGGTTTAAGTTCTAGCTCTGCCATTTACCACTTTCTGATCTTTGCTGTTTCAAGTATAAAACAAGGATAATATCTATCTCACTTTCCTTCTCATCATGAGATTGTAAAGTTCAAGATCAAACTGGATGAGTGTCCATGAAAATGCTTTAAAACTGCAAGCCCAATGCAAGTCTAGGTTAATAAGTGACTTCATTTATAATATGCCAGGTAAAGTCAAACTACGAATATGAGACACCTCCAAGAGCTATTGAAAATCTTAAATTGGCACCCCAATCACAATCTTACAGGGTCTACCAAATGCCCACTCCAATCCAAACTTTCAGTCAACTCTGGATGACTGGATGAATCAACTGACTGCGTGATTTCAGGAAAGCAAACAAAAAAGCATAGGTCGTGATTATTACTAGAAATATAAACATTTCTTTTGAATAATAAAAACTGAAAATTTATCATACCTTTAATTGTGGAGATTGTGTGCTGAAACATTTTTGGATATTTTCAAATGATGCAGATTTTCTTAGGAAAAAAACCTGTGAAATAATCAAATGATAAATATCTATCGACTATAGATATTATTCGGTAAACTAAAATATCATATGACAGTTGGCTAAGGATAACTGTTTAGGTTAATTAATGAAATGCAGAAATACTAATTAAAATACAGGTTCTTACTCATTTCACTGACTTCACAGAATGGAGCAGAACTTAAAATCCATAAATTAATTTAGAAAAGTGCCTAATAATATAAACTATCTTATTTTTAAAAATGCAACTTAATATAATAAACACTTACCAAAGCTTTCTGGTGGGTACAAGTGGCACAGGTTGGTGTGAATGTGGCACAGATATGGTGAGCCATAATCCCCTTAGCCCTGGGGCTGCACTAACAGGACTTGGAGCAGCTACTGTCCCCTGAATAGTCACCTCTAATCATTTTACTCCACAGGACCTTTTACTCCACAGGACCACACAAATATTATCACTTATTATGAGAGCTACTAAATTAAAAGAGTTGGGAAGTACTACTATCTACTGGATAGAGTAGAAAGTACAAAAAAAAAAAAAAATGACATGTTCTATGTCCTCCAGCAGTATAATGGTGGAAAGACATAAAGAAATAACTACTATCCAAAGCAGCTGTGGCAATGACTAAGGATGGTGTGAATCAGGTGTAATCAGGTGTAAAGAGAGCAAGGGAGAGGGAGAGGGCAATTCTCAATGGGAAGGAACTTGGATAGACTGGCTTGAAGAGGTAGCCTCAGGGCTGGCCTGTGAAAGGTAGAGACATTTCCACAGACTGAGAAAGGGTTGAGAACGTCCCAGGCCAATGGAAGAGGCTTAGCAAGAACAGCGAAGTGTCACAGTGCAGGGGATTTTAGTCCCCAAGCACTCTGGTGCAGGCAGAACACAGGTACGTGAGGTTACATGGAAGCAGAGATATAACGGGAGGGAGGATAGAAAATAGAGTTGAGGCCAGGTCATGAGGCTTAGTGAGCTCTCTGACTTTATTTGGTAGGTGGGGTTACTCAGTTTGTTGAGACATGAGTGACATAATCATTCTTGTGTTTTCAGAATATAGCAGGGGGCAGTAGGGAGGATGGATTGGAAGAAGCGGTTACTAAAAATGGGAATATCTGACAGGTAGGTATAAAGCAGTGCTACCACAATAGTTTAGAAAGTGCAAATGGCATTCCAAACTAGAAAATGCCATTCGCTGGTTCAATTCTTTTATGTGATGCTCACTGCTCTAGGTGCTACAGATAAAACAGTGAACAAGAATGATATGACCCCAGGCTGGTGAGGAATAAAAAGATCAAACGTACATAAGGACAAATATTTAGTAAGTGCTACAAGGAAAATAGCAAAAGAGTGATCTATATTAAATAGAAACATTATCCCCTCCAAAAGAAAAGTATTACCTGACTGCATGGGGAACAAGGAAGGGGGCATAGACACATATTTAACCTGGTTATCCTACTAGAATAGAGATTTGATTGTCTCAGGGCACCAATACTCTCTACTGTGTGGCACTCAGCATCCCAAAACATCATTAGGGGAAGGAGAGGGCTGAGGGCACGAAGGAGAGAAAAACAAACTGCTTCTTGTTTGTCTCCCATAAAATTCAGGGCATTTTATTTAGCCACTTTTATTTTCATACCTTTCTTCTTCTCTCGATCACTATCTCTTTTCTCTCTGATTGTGTTTATTGTTTAATTAGCTTATTTGGATGCACTGTAATGATAATAAAGTCATAAGCATGAGTCTAGTCACCATTTACAGAATTCTCTGTTTCATGGCCATAAACAATTCCCCCATTTGGTGAAAAGATTCATTAACATGTTACTTTGATCATTTAAGACCTAGGCAAGAAGTGATAAATGAGTGCAAACCAGAAATTTTAGGAAAACTCACAGAAGATATCCTGCTATTGATTAGTAAATAATATCTTTTGAGTGTCATTAAGACAAAATATTTGAAAAAGAGGAAATGTGTCCTCGGCAAAGACACCAGGGAATGTTTTGAGGCATTTCCCGGAATGAGGAAGCATTAAGAAATAATTTCCAGAATTACTAGAAATAATATTTGAGCTGTAGGCAGAAAAAATTATAGACTAGCAGAATAAAAATTATACATACCCTAGAACTTCTTCTGCTATACTGATTTAAAGCAACGACACTTTCCTTGCTTTCAGATGAAAATTTCTCAGTTAAAATTCTGCTTGCTTGAACACTCTATGATAAAATGATAATAGTTTCAAATTATATAGTGGAATACTTTTAAAAGCCTATTATCACTGTTGCTTCATAGTACAACATTATTACCAAAAGAGAAATGTATAGAAAGTTAGAATTGTAGAAAACCAGAGATGCATCAAAGTCCAGCTACAGCCTTAGTATTTGGCTAAAACCCACAATTTGGCTTTAGCATTGGCCTTTAGCCAAATGGATACTTCCACATTATTTCTGGCATCCCTAGTCTTAGTAGCAATCACCAAGCCTGTGATCTCACAGGTTAGCACTGAATCTATTCAGCACATCAACATCAGGATTATGAATAATACATATCATTTGGATTTATTGTCAATACATAACTACTCACTGCCAAATATAAGTAAGCATTCTAAATGTTAATTGGAATGAAAATCTCCTCAAACACTTTATAATTCAAACTCTATGAGTTAATTAAGTTATATATGTATATTTATTACTGTAAGGGTAAACTGCTGCAATGATTAGGATTACTATTAAACGTGCTACTTCTCTATCTTGTAATCAGTGATTTGGATACATAGAAATAACTAGAAGATCTCAGTTTGATAGCCTGGGGGATTCATGATGAATTAAATCATGTCGCTGCTTTATTTGCTGAAATTTTCAGGTCTCAAACAACTAACATTTCAAATTCAAAAAATATTTATTCAATAGGAAATCAGATTTTAAAAGTATCATGTAATTATTACTGAGATTGGAGCAGATATGGAGAAGGCTATGGGTAATTTAGGAAGCACCAGCACTGAAGTTTTGTTCATCCTCTTCTGTTGTATTTTCATATAGCAGCTATAGCACAATGTAAGGTAAGAGAATTACTGGACGCAGCAGAAAGATACTTGGTCACTTGCACCACTATTCTTCAAAGACAAAGTATGTGAAACACAAGATTTTGGAATTATTTTGTCATATGCCTACACAAAATACTCAAATATGATGGAATAGCAGCTATTACATATTAAAAATAATGCTTTTAACAATAACAAGGACAAAAACCTTAATACTGTATTTTACAGATATCAAAACAGCAGAACTTCCTAATGATCAATAGTTGCTTTTTAAAAAGAGAACATGGTACGTATGCTGGAACCTGCCAAGATACTGCCCAAGCTAATGTGCCTTGAGAATGCAAGCACTGCTTACACGACATCTGATGTAAAAATCCTCCTTCTCTACTCCAGGGATATTGCTGAAACTGGTATGCATGCAATAAAAGCTGGGATGCAGATGGAAGTGGAAATAGTTTTGCTACCTTAAAAGTCAATTATGACTTCTGCTTCTAATTTTGGCAGGCTAAGTAATTTTGCTGAGGGCAGAAAGCTACATGTAACATGAAAAACATAATCTTCAAAGCATCAAAGAGCTAACAAGATGATGAAGAGATACAGGGCCAAAATCTAAGAAAAGGCAAGAACTTGGAACGGTAAGCCCAGTATTCAACGATGCTTTTGTTCTCAGGATGTTTGCCAAAGCTGCTGCAAATCTGAGCTGCAGATTGGCAGCTTCTTGGGGTAAGGGTGACAGAAATCGAAGCCCAGAGTCTACCTGAGTTATTTATACACAAATATAATATTAAATATATACAAAATATACAAGTATCTAAGGCTACACAGATGTTACACCCTCAGGGTTACACCCTCAGATTAAGAGTGAATGGAAGTAAATCAACCTTTGTGTAGACCTTCAGCCTGGGCTCTATCATGAGGTCAAGAAACTCAAGCCTCAACCTTAGATTAAGGCTGTCTCTGAGTGGTAAAGATACCAGGTTCTGACAAAAAATTTTCTCTGGAGAAAGGAACTGTCATTCTAGGTCTCAAATGTTTCCTAAAAATAATGTTTTAAATATGGTGATAAACATTTAAAGACAGACAGGTACACAAAGAAATAAAACACCAGAATGTAATAGATTTAGAGAAAAAAATACAAATTCTAAAAAGAAAAATACAAAACCAAATTTAAAAATACTGTGAACAAGTTTAACAGTATATTAGAAACAACTGAGGAAAGAATTATGAACCTGAACTATAATATAGATCAAAAGAAATAGCCCAGAGTCCAATATCAAGAGAAAAAAGAAATACATGTGATTAAAGTCCCAGAAAATGAAAGAGAGAACGGACAGAGGCAAAATTTGAAGAGATAATAACTAAAAATTTTCCATAGCTGATGAAAGACATCAAACCACAGATGCAAAAATCCCAATGATTCCAAATTGTGATAAATAAAAAGAAACCTGCAACTAGACACATCATAGTGGAACTTAGGGAAGAAAGAGAAAAACTTCAAAGTAGCCAGTTTTCAGGGAAGCAGAGAGTTAATTAACTTCAAAGGACTTGCACTTAAGATTCACTTCTCGACAGCAATAGCAGACACCAGAAAATAGTGGAACAACATTAGTGTGCTAAAAGAAAACATTTACCACATATACCATACCCAGGTAAAATATCCCTCAAGAATGGGGTAATATTAAGATATCTGAAACAAAGAAAAACAAGGGTTTCCACCGATTGCAGACCTCCCACTTCCCTTAAAGCAAATTCTAAAGGATATACTTTAGGCAAAGGGTAAAATGATTTCAGACAGAAAGGTCTGAGATGCTAGGGAAAAAAAGAGAGAGGGAGAGATAAATACATGGGTAAAATATAAGGAATATTGCATAAAATGATAATAATAATGTTTTGGGAGTTTTAAAAGATAAGAATCTAAAAATATATCAAAGTAAGAACATATTAAATCAAGAAGGGGTAAATGGAATTAAAAGGTTTTAAAGTCATTGCATTTTCCTGCAGGTGTATAAAGGTATTGATTAACATTAGATATAGATTAAAGATATTGATTAAAGGTAAAGATGAATATTCTAGAGAAACCACCATAGGAATAAGAAATAATATATATAACTTCCAAAATAGGGATGATAAAACACAATTTATCCAGATAGTTGAAAAAATAAAAATAAAATCAGAATATATTATATCCAGACCACTGCATTTTTTTAAAAAAGGAACAACAAAGATAAATTTAAGAAAGGGAATAAAAGGAGACTATAAAACAAACAAAAGTCAGAGTCTATAAAAACATAAATTAAATGGCAAGATAAAACAAAAAATATCAATAATCATAATATATATATATAAATAGGTTAAATTTGCTTTTAAAAAAGTAGGGCACACAGATCTTTGTATCTAAATACCATTTCCCATTCACAGGAACCAGGAGTCTTTGAACAAAGGTCTGATTCCAGTTATGGCGCATGGAAAGTGTCTTGGGCCCTCTTTTTGTGCCAGAAAGTCCCGTTGGATCCTTTTTCTTCTGGTCATTGGGTGTGAACAACCACCAGTATCGATTTACTTTTAGAACATCTTTCTAATGGATTACTCCATCATCACCAGTTCTAACCAATCCTTCTTATTCTTGCTACAATTCAGACTTTGTTCAGACAATTCTGCCCACTCTCAATTCCCCATATTCATACTTTCCTATATACAAAGATGGAAAAATACATGCCCATACTTTAGAAACATAATACAGTAGTTTGGAAAACATTGCACTCATGTTACAGGCTCTCCTACTGTGTCAGTTCAGTTAGGAGCAGATGCTACCAGTGGAGCATAAAAAGAGAAGCAGCAGTAGGTAGAAGGGGCCTTCAGACCATGATGTAGGTGTGACACCTGTGAAAGGGGAAGAGAAAGGAAGGATTGGGTAGGAAGAGCTTCAGACCACAGAGAAGTTCCGAGAAAGAGTCAGCTAGGCAGATGGAAAGTCCCTGAGCCAAAGCTGCCTGTTAAAACAATCCCACATCAAGCAGGAATGGGTCAGCTCTGGCAAGCCCCTTGTGCTCAGGCACTGGCCGGGAGCAGCCCAGAGGAAGAAGAGCCTTGGAGGGAACACCGTGGTAGATCTACAGGACAGCAGTTGGAGGCTAGCAGTCAAGTATGCTCCTCTCAACAGATTCTCTTGAAGGAGATGTGAGCATCACATTTTCATGGGTGCCACACGTACTTACACAAATTAATATTTGCCAATCTTTTACATTAAGGCAATCTTTTCATATACCTTATGTTATTAACTTTATTTTAGCACATGGCATCTTTTTCCAAAAAAAAAATATTATTTTCTTATGTAAATGAAAAATCTATACTACACTAAAAAGAAAGAAATGCAAATATACACCATAATCTTCCAAGATTTGAGTTACATATACACTTTAGCCAGGAATTCCAAATAGAAAAATATATATGTGTGCAAAGATATATGTTCAAATATCTTTTAAGTGAAAAAAATAGAGATGCAGAAAAATATAGATTACATGACTCCACATACGTAAAAACATTAACTTGCATACGCCTACATTACATAAATGAAAATGAAAATGTCTGAAACGATACACACAATGCATTTAACAATGATTAACTTCAGGGAGAAGAGAACTGGGGAAGGACAGCGTTCAAGGTGGGGAGCGCTCTTTATGCCATACACGTCTTTATTGTTTGAGTTTTTTCCACAAGAAAGCATTCATATACTACTCATACAAGTTCTTAAGTGATTTTAATAGGCCCGGCCACTTTGAAAACGGCACAGACAATAATACTGCTAAAGAAAATAATGGTAATTTAACAAAAGACAGAATAGAAAGAAAATTTTTAAAAGACAGAAACCACAAAATAAGACTAGTAAGACCAAATTAACCATATGCTTCTTATACGGCTCATTTAAAACAAACAAAAAACACAACAAAGACAGGAGTAAAATGAAAATATTCCCGAACACAAACAGAAAAGAACACAGGGTTGGCCATATTAGAGTGGAATGCTAGCGTTAACTCGGCCAAAGTGGGTCATCTAAAATCGATAATAAAGAATAAACAGTGCTGAATTCATAATAAAGACAAAACAGCTTCTACTCACATAAAGTAAGAACTGTCAGTAACACTTGGAGAAATGGACAAAACATAACTGCACTGAAAAATTCCAACCAGTGTTTTTTAGATCAAAGGAAAGAAATATGCCATAGGAGAATGGAATATAACAATACAACAGCTATATCTATTATTAATTGAGCACTTACTATGCATCAGGCAATACATTATATAGTCTCTCATTAAATCCTCAGAACACCCACTCTACATACAAAATAAACTGAGACTTCAAGAGGCTAAGATACTAGTACGAGGTTATCCAGGAACTAAGTGGGATTCAAATCCAAGAGCGTATAATTGCGAAGCCTGTGCTCTGCTTAGTGCTGCCACAATGTAACAATGGTCACTGCATATAACACCATTGAATTAACAAATACTATTGGTACATCCAGTACACCACAAAGCAAATATCAATAAATTCCAAGAAATTGGTATTCTAAAGAATATATTTTCTTATGTTAATAAGGGTTAAGAATAAAATTTAAACAAAATAATTCCAAGTCAAAAAAGTTTAAAAAAAATTTCCCGTATAAGTAATGTATCAAAAAGATAATGAAAACTACAATAGAAATTATCTAGAAAATAAATGAACACACTATAAAAATGTATGAAATAAGATCAAAGGCTTACACAGAAGAAAATTATGAAGTATTTATATTACTTAAAAAGAAGATAAAGAAATTAATTAAACTTTCAGTGCAAGAAATTAGAAAAATGCCAAAAAGAAATGTCAACATTTTATGGAAAGCAGGAAGCCAATAACCAAAACATTTTCAAAGACAGAAGCAAAAAAAATTCAGAGGGGCAAAAGTTGAATTAATAACAAACCCAAAAGTTTTTTGGTCAAAGTTAGTAGGTTGAACTCATTTGTTTTTCTGGCTGACCGGCCATGGCATCTAACAGCTAGAGGATCATACATCATAAACTTTGTTAAAAAAATTAAACAGATGGTTTTATACTGGTGTGAAAATAGTAGTTTGACAAGTAGAGACTAAAACATTTGTAATTGAAAACAAATGAGAAAAAACCAAAAAAATTAAACTAATTGCCAAAAATTCTATCCTAGAGAAGAAAAAAATCTCAAAAATATCACTAGAAATCTGAAAGAAAATGATGCAACATTAGAAATGGAGATTAAAACTGAACAGAGAATATATACACACTCCGCATATAACTTATACATTTCAATCGAATAGATGGCTTTCTGTAAGAATACACGTTACCAATTAACTCAAGAAAAAATAGTAAACATGAATAACCCAAGAATTAGAAAGGAAAAATTTTTAATTGTCAAACAATTACCTTCCCAAATGGCTCACGTTTCCAATGAGTTCTTCCAAATTTTCAAGATTATTCCTTGTATCAATTCCAGAATATTAAAAAAGATGAAATGCTACCCAATTAACTTTATGAAGCAAGAATAACCCTGATAGCAGAGTACAAAAGAGGAAAAAAATATACTACATACATAGTTCACTATGAGTATATATTAAAAATAAAAATAAAATATTGCCTATCAGAATTCAACATGCTATTTAAGAATAATACACCACAATCAAGTAATCCAAGAAATATAAGGGTGTTTCAGTATTAACATTCCACACACGTAGTATCAGTAGGTCAAATATAAATGTGATTCCATTCCTGCCTTGGTTGCAGAAAAACTAAGAGGTAAATTAATGACGCCATTTCAAGCAACAACAGCATATATGAATAGAATTTATTTGATTTAATCTTACCTCTGACTTTATTATGCTATTACCCTTGTTATGCTTTCCCCATAATTTCTTTAACTTTTTTGTTTTATCTTTCTCTGATATATGTGTTCTAATAAGCTGCCTAAAATCCTGTGCAAATAAAATAATCCTAAATATCATTAAAAATTTATGCACAATGATGTTCATCACAGAATTATTTTATTTTATTTTTTGTGTATGTGTGTGACAAAGATCAGCCCTGAGCTAACATCCATGCCAATCCTCCTCTTTTTGCTGAGGAAGACCGGCCTTGGGCTAACATCTGTGCCCATCTTCCTCCACTTTATATGGGACGCCGCCACAGCGTGGCCTGAGAAGTGGTGCCTCGGTGCGCGCCTGGGGTCTAAGCCGGGCTGCCAGCAGCGGAGCGCGCACACTTAACCACTACGCCATGGGGCCGGCCCCACAGAAGTATTTTAAGACGAAAAAAATAAAGAAGAAAAGAGGGGAAAGGGTGAAAGAAAAGAAGATAAGGAAGAGGAGGAAGAATTTTTAAGGATGAAATAAAATGGACCAAAAAGGGGGCAGTAATTGTCTTGAGGAAGAAGAATAATAGATGATTTGGGTTTTCTTCTCTTGATCTTTCTAATTTTTAAAATAATCAGTATAAAATAAAATGAGAGCAAGTGAACACTCTTTAAGGGAAGAAGAAAAAAATTAACAATTGTATTGGGTAGTGTTAAAATTTTTTAACACTAAATTAACTAAAAATACACTTTTAAAAGCAAATGAAAATACCATGAAGATCTTCTAAACAACCCAAGTAGCTTTATATCTCGGCACCTCAGTCAAACAAAACATCCTTCAAAAAGAAAACAGAATATTCTTCTTGACTGGCTAAAGTAACATGGATAAGTACAACATTTTTTATAAATATATATATATAAGTATACATGTATAAGTATGGGCTAATAAGTATATGTGTATTTATGCACATACATATAATACATACATACTATAATTATTTATTATATATGAATTTCTATAGCGCCATCCAATCATTCTTAATTATGGCAATAGTTGTCTGACAATTTACACAACTGTCCAGTAAAATTCAATGTCATAATCAGACAATTAAACTATGAACGACAACCATAGAGAAAAGTCATTCGGTATATTACCTCATATTTCGGATACAGAGTTTCCTTCATGACAGATACTGGAACAGAGAATTTGGGTGAAGTTAGATTCCAAAACAACTTCGTAAACCCTGGGTAAGCAGACACCTTTGAAAATAACATAAAAGGCTGTTAGAAACTATCAAATCGTACCTAGGGTAAAAACCCAAGCTCCTGTCAAAATGGCTTCTAGTTGCCCAGAAATGGAAGTGATTGGTTCCACAGCCTCTGAAGGTCTTGGGAAGAGAACTTTTCATAGCCATCAGATTAGCAAAAATGTAAAGTTGGCAATTCCAAGTGATGCCAAGGATGTGGGGAAATTAGAGAACCACACTGGAGGCAAAATGGCCATTTCTAGTAAAACAGAAAATGTGCATGCCACGTGATCCAGCAATTTTCACTTCCAGCTATGTATTCTAAGGAAATTCTTACACGTGTTCATGAAGAGATATGTACAAGGATGCTCATACAGCACATGAAATGGCAAAAAACAAAGTCCAATCTAAATGTCCATTAATAGAGAAACAGATGAATAAAATGTGGTATATTCACATAACTAAACACTATAAAGCCATTCAAGAACAAAAATTACATACCATAGATGGATTTTAGAAGCTTAGTATTGACAGTAAAATAAGCAAGTTTTAGGAAGATGCATACAAAATAATGTCATTTATATAAATGAATCTATAGTATTTATTGTTTAAGGTCACAAATACATTTATTAAAGTATAAAATCATGAAAGACCACAGGTGTAACAGTAATTGCCTTTGGATAAGGAGGAGGGGAGAGAAATGGAATTAGGAAGAAGTACAATAGGACTTAAATTACTTTTAAATTTTCTTTTATTTTAGAAAATCTGAAACAAGTATGAGAAAACGTTAACATAAATTCTTGATAACACTTCCCCTTGTGTTTTTTAGTTTAGTTTCTGTATTTATTTATTTGTTTCTTTAAACTTTTTCCAAATAAAAATTAATCAGGTATAGGGGAATTTTTAGGGAGGTGAAACTATTCTGTACGATACTGGAATTGTGGCTATATGACATTGTGCATTTGTCAAAACCTATTGAGCTTTGCAGCACAAAGACTGAACCTTAAAGCATGCAAATTTTAAAATATCATTTAGGAGATCAAGAGGAAACCCAGGATGGAATGCAGAATGTAACAAAACAATCTAGCTGTATTATAAATGTCTGAAACTACCTCACTGAAGGGGGTGGGGGAAAAGTTGCTGACTTTAGGAACTTTGGAAATGAAAGGAGTATGTAAAACTAAAGGCAAAAGAAACTATACATAGCACTGCACTTTAGTTGATAAAGTTGTATCCCACAGGAATATAGGCTAATAATTCTGACACTTCTATGCATGAATACTTCTATACTGGAACTGAACAATTAAGTAAATGGATGGAGGATGGTAGGAGCCAGGTTTGTCATGGTTGGAGTAGGAGTTTTAACATAAGTGAGGAGGCTGGAAGGATCCATGTGGTGATGGATTAGAGTGGAAGACATCAATATGAACTCACGTTTAGCTTAATTTAGACACACATGGTTACATACAGAAATATTTTTAAATATGCATATTTACAGGAGTTAGTATACACACATATATTTCCTTGCTGTGTCAGCTGAGAAGGCCTAGAAGCAGCAATGCCCCGGTAGCAACAAGCACACCAATGCCCACATCTTGGTTTCTAATTACATTCTCTAGTAAAGGGAACCAGGCCTTCTTGTGGAAAATGGCTTATTCTATGGACTGGGGCAGGAAAAACACAACATGAGCCAGGAGCATCTTGTATTGCCAGAAATTAAGAAAGTCATAAAAAAAAAAATCCCACAATGATAGGGTATGTCAAAGGGACATAGCAGCCAACTGAAGGAGGTCTCAATGACCAAAGCTAGAACAATTTTAGCAAAATAATAATAATAATAAAGCAGTATTGGATTACAACTCTAAGTATAACATAAATACCCATGAGTCATATTGATATAAATAAATAATTGAATAAATAAATAAATGGGAAGAATAGACAAATCTCCTACACAGATGAATTCAAATCAATTTTTGTATATACTCTACCCTCAAGGAGGTGGAGCATAACTCCACATTACTTAAGTGTAAGCTGCACACAGTGACTTCCTTCCAAAGAGTAGAGTATGGAAAATGTTGGAAAAAAAGAGAAACTTGACAAAGAAGAAACTTGGCAAACACTACCTTTGCCAGGTGATCAGGATTAACACCAACAGTGATAAGTCACGTTGATAAGATGTACCCTTGATATGATGTGATGAGAATGGCACTTCACCTTAGTGGTCTCCCTCCTAAAACCACATCAGGTAAATCCCAACTGGGGGACATTCTACAAGATACCTGACCAGTACTCCCCAAAACTGTCAAGGTCATCAAAAACAAGGAAAGTCTCAGCAACTGTCACAGCCAAGAGAAGCCTAAGGAGACAACTAAATGTAATGTGGTATCTTGGATGGCATCCTGGAACAGAAAATGAACATTGCATAAAAACTAAGGAAATCTGAATGAAGTATGGATCTTAGTTATTAATGATGTATAAACATTGGTTCATTGATCTTAACAAATGTACCATACAACTGTAAGATGTATTCATTTCCCGGGGGGCTGCCATAACAAACCACCACTGTATGGCTTAAAACAACAGAAATGTATTCTCTCACAGTCTTGGAGACTAGAAATCCAAAATCAAGGTCCATGCTTCCTCTGAAGGCTCTAGCTAAGAATCCTTCCTTGCCTCTTCCTAGCTTCTGGTGGTTGCCAGCAATCCTTGGCATTCCTTGGCTTGCAGCTGCATCATTCCAATCTCTGTCTCTATTGTCACACAGCCTTCTTCCCTGTGTGTCTGTGTGTTCACGTGGCATTGTCCTCTTATAAGGACACCAGTCCTATTGGATTTAGGGCCCACCCTAAATCCAGGATGATCCATCCCAAGATTCTTAATTACATCTGCAAAACCCCTACTTCTAAATAAGGTCACATTCATAAGTACTGTGGATTAGGACTTGGACATACCTTTTGGGGCCACTATTGAACCCACTATTATATTAATGATAGGGGAAACAGGGTGTGTGATATATGGGAAACATCATATTGTCTTTAATTTTTCTGTAAGTCTAAAACTATTCCAAAAAATGAAGTTTATTTCAATAAAATAATAGGAAAATAACAAAGCAAACAATATAAGAAAATATAATTTTTAAAAATAGTTGGAGGTAAAAAATTAATCAGTCACTCATGACAAGAGCTGGAAGAAAATGTGGTAAGATTTTTAAAACAATAACTGTTTGAATCCATGGTGCTATTGGTAATTATGTTTTCTTTAATATTTTCATTGACTTTTAATAATATTTAATTGGACTATGCATTTTCCCCAAAAAGACTTCTTTCACCAGAAAAATGAGCTCAAATGATTTTAGAGCATTAGCTCACAAGCATTATTCTAGCATTAACTATGAAACCTTAACAGTGACATCTCTTGGAGCGTGGGTGTTACACAAATTTTCAAGAGTAAATACAAAGACCCAAACACAATAAATAGAGTCACAATGATAAGGTGACGCTGAGTTTTGACCACTTTTATTTCTAGTCAGATATACTTCAACTATGCCGTACACTTGATCACGTGCTTCCTATCTACCAACAGAGTATTCAGAGAAAGCGGATTTTGCAGTTGCCAGGTTAATTTGTCGAACATAAGTATTCAAAATCATGTTTCCATCTCACTCATCCTCTGTTTTGCTGGGCACACTGCATCCCTTTCTGCTGTACAGACCTAGAGCCAAGAAGTCCTTGCTAAAAAACGAATAAACTCTTCCAAACTCAGCTGACAACTCTTCTCCCAAAGATCACCCAGAAATTAAGATTTCAGGTAATCAAATGATATGTCACGTACAATACAATAACTTCTTTCATGCAGTAGATAGACTTCCAGCAGTTTAAGCATCCAGAATAAAATCATTCCCCTAGAAGTAAGCAGGATACAAGCCTCCAAGTGGGAAGAGAGGAAAATCTATCGCTAACAGCAGTACTTTGCTCTCAAGAAGAAACACGGAGGCAACTTCAGGACTGAATTTATCAAATTAAACTAGTGAATAAACACTTGTCATGGTAAATTGTTTCACCAGCAATGCTCAGAACTTTCTAAAAGGAGACAGAGGAAAATGGTTAGAAACAGCAGTGTTGGTGGCTGCTAGAACCTGACAAAAGGGTAGAGATTGCACAGCAAACTGAATTACTAACTATAAAGCAACCCAGGTTAATTTCATACAACAGTACCTGCACAGCCCCTACGGTTACTATGTGTTTACAACACAATATAATAACTCCTGTTCACTCTGAAGACCAAGCTCAGGACATTCTGTTCACTAAAAGAGAGAGAGAACGCAAATTTGTGTCAGGGGTAAATTAAGCTTCATATACATGAAACATAAGGACAAACAATAGTTTTTAAAATATGGTCTGAGACACTGGAGAGCCTCAAGAACTTTTTCAGGGACTTTTCAAGACCTTTCCACACTTGAAAACTATTTCTTTAACAATACTAAGAGGCTATTGACCTTTTTCACTGTGTTGAAATTTGCACTGATAGTGTAAAAAAATGTATTGGGTAAAACCAATTGTGCCTTAGCATGAATTAAGGCGGCGGCACCCTAAAAATGCCTGGCAGGAAGCAAGAAAAATTGTTAATTTTATTGAATCCCAATTTTTAAGTACACATCTTTTTAATACTCAATGTGACTGAAGGAGAAGTACACATTAAGGGTCTCTGTGGCCACAGTGAGGTAGGATCATGGTTTTGAGGAAAAGCACATGTGCTATTGCTTGAGTTGTGAACTGAATTTGCCATCATTTTTATTTGAAAGGACAAACACCAAACTATGGTTATTCAGACTTGAGTATGTGGCAAGTATTTTCTTGAAAAATGAATGAAGCAAACTTGTCATTTCAAATAAAACCATGGAGAGTATTTGTGGCCATTAAAAAATGTAAGCTTTTAGCAAAAACTAGAATTTTGGAAAATTTGTGTCCTTCATCACGAGCTTGCCAGGTTCCTAATACTAAAACATTTTTCTGA